TTTTTTTACAGTAATGAGAATTTTAAAATCATGCCACGATAAAAAAAAAAATCTATTTGAATTTATTGTCTTGCACAACGGCACAAAGATCAGTGTTGATTAATAGGGTCACACAATATAATTTTTCCCAATGAAAAATGATAGTCTCTCAGAAAAAAGTAAAATAATGTGTTACCGCTGCCTGGTCACTGATCATTTTTCCCCGCTCGCGAGATTCCTCCTCATACGTGCTCTGCTTGGACTCCAGCAGTTCCTTTTCAGCCAAATCAGCCTTCATTTGAGTCTCTAAAATCTACAAAACACAAGCACTGGGTTATTACAGCTGACAGACGAACAGAAAGTATCCTCAAAATGAGGCCTTTAAAGGTTTCATCTAAATCCAAAGATAAATACAGAGTCAGGATCTTTTATTCAGCGGCTATAAAATTAATAAGGAGCACTAATAGTATAGTTCTCTTGTGTAAGCTCAATGATTGGAGGCAAACCGCTCTGTTGAACATCACTGATATTTGTCACGAGCAGAAGTGTGTGTGTGTGTGTTCAGCCCAACCTTGATCTTGTCTTCATACAGATTTTTCTTCTGTTCCAGGTGTGTTTCCATACGCTGCGCTGTTGCCTGCGTTTCACGCAAGTTCTCTTCGAGTTCCTGCGTACAGACGATAGAGGAAAAATGAATACCACTGAGACTTAATGGAATATGTTTCATACTGAGAGATTGCTAGGGTATTTTTCCCTGAAGAAAAATTAAATAGCGTGGGACTTCAGTAAAAGTCTCTATTTAATCTCATTTATTTTTTTCTCATTCATTTTTTAACGGATAGCATATTTCCATCAGTATTTTTTATATACTTTTACAGTATTTATTAATATTTTGAACTAGCTTTTGTTCTTATCTCTAGTGTTTTCATTTGACATTTTGTTAAGAATTTAAGATTCTTAAGTTTTAAGAATCCTGTGCCTTTGTCATTTATCTTATATATATTTTTTTAATATTTGTATTTACGTTTCATTTATTTTTATTTCAGTTTTAGTAATTTAGTACCTCAACTTTTTCTCATATAATATTTATATATTATTTGTGCTTTTTTTTCAATTAATGAAAAAATGTAATACTTTTAATTAACTTGTTAGTTAGTTAATTGCAAATTACCTTATGTTAAAAAACTGTAAATGGTTTACTATTGCATTATATGTAATTATACAGTAAAATACAGCCAAATTGATCATTTTTGGAAGCACAAACCATAACTTTTACGTGAAAAACTGTAAAAGTTATTAGTTCATATATAGTTTTTAGTTATTAGTTTATATACAACATATATTTTATTTAAATTTTGTTTTTCCTTATTTTTGTTAACAGTAATATTTTACATTTTCAGCTGATATTTAAATTGTTATTTTATTTAAATTTGTAAATATTTCTAGCTAGCTTAAATTTATTTTTATTTCAGTTTTAGTAATTTTAGTACTTCGACTCTTTTAAAATTGAAGTTTTACACATAATATTTATATTTTATTTCAGCCTTATTTCAATTAATGAAAACTATTTTTAATAGATAAGGCAAGGCAAGCTTATTTCTATAGCACATTTCATACACAATAATTCAAAGTGCTTTACATAAAAAGGAATTAAAATAATCACAACAATAAAAGCAGAGAATAAAACATTTGAAATGATTAAACATTTATTTAAAATGCATCAAAAGAGTATGAGGATACATAAAATACAGTGCAATCATTTAATAAGATATAATAAGATTTAATAGATTTCATTTTTAATTACCACTAACAACTCTGGTGGTCTCCAGATAAACTCAAAATGTGGCATTTCATTTTTAAGCACTTGTTAATCGTGACTAATTCATAAAAATCAATAATATACGGTATAAATCATCCAGCTAAAAACACATCGTCATTGTGACACACATGATCGTGGCCAAAGGCTGAGATGATCCACTGCAATCTGTCACTTTTGGAGCCGTGACAGGGCCAGAGAGCATGCTGGGAGCTGAGGGAAAGAAGCGGTGACACTACCAGGCTAAGCAGGTCGAAAAAAACGAATAAAACTGAAAGTGTTTAATGCAAGCGTGAGGGTTTGAGGAGGTATACCGCGCGTGACTAACAAGTGTAACGTCTTAATTAAGTAGCTTTACTGCGTGCATGTGACACCTCCAGTAGACATTTCTGGAGCGCAGCAATCGCATTTCATTGGCACATTGTGTTGAAGTGAATAACTCCAGTGTTTACCTGTTAGTTCGTGTGTTTAAGATACAGTACGTGTAGGCTCAGGCTTACCATGATTTTGTCTGCCATCTGTTGGATCTGCTGCGACTTGGTATGAATGTCTTCTTTGAGTTTAGTTTCTCTCCTTTCCACCATCTCCAGCCTCTTGACCTGGTTCTCCAGGATTTTCTTGCCATCCTGTTCCATCCCAGAAAAGGAAAAACCTCATTTTGATGATGCTCTCCTGGCAACTTAGACTGAAAAAATAAGCTTTATGTGGAAACATCTAAATTAGCTGATTTTATTCGAGTCAAAAATAATATTACTTGGCATCACTGATTCAACCTGAATGCATAAGGTGTCACCAACAAATTACATTTAGATCAAATAGCTCCTGAAACAGTATTTCTATTAATAAACCAGATGTTAAAGTTTAGGTTAGGCTGTGTCTAATCTGTAAACAATGAGTCAAATTAGTTAAAGGGGTCATATGATGCTGCTAAAAAGAACATTAT